AGATGCTGTTATTGCAGTGGTGATTAATGTTGTCGTATTATCAATCAGACTATTAAGTTACAATGCGAAAAATCTACTCCGATGATGGGTTTCGTAACGTCAGCCACGACGAAGCGCCAGGAGAATTTGCGACGCAATCCCAAGTCCAGCTCTAGATGTGCATAACCATAAGTAGCTATGCTAGTACCGTTGGCTGCGAAAAGTTGGTAGTCTGTTTCTCAAACGAAGGCATCGTTTGAGTGCTGTTTTAGGAAAAACGCAAATGTCGCTCCCAGTGTCGACTAAAAATTGCATTTTACTTCTACGGTCTGTAACAAAGAGGCGACTTGGTTGTGAAGGGCTGCCGTATGTCGCCGTTAACGACTGCCCTTTAAGTTTTCCGACACATAGTCACATGGATTGACGCAATGGTTTGCAGAGTCTCCGTACTTCCAATGATACCAACATTTAGGGAAACGCCTGTAATTGGAATTCGATCGGGTTTGGCTGTGCTGTCGGCGACTGCTTCTACTTTTGGAACGCGAGCGCGATCTATTTATTTATTTATTTATTTAAAAAACTTACACGTAACACCTTAAGCTAAAGGGTACATAGGGCGGAATTAATGTCATGTGGCATCCTCTGCCAGTCAATCCTGGGTGCCAAGGACAATTGTTGGCAGATGCGACCATTGTACATAAATAGGTGCATATACATTAAACATACATATATGCAAAGTACATACATACACAATACATTTAAATATACACACATATAATACAAATATACGTACAGTAATACATACATACATATATATATATATAAAAAAAATATATAATATATATATATATATATATATGCTTATAAACTTCTTAAATAAATATCCAAATGAATGATATATATAATATAATGTTCGAATAATATATAATGAAATAAATATTTGAAGTAAAAAAGAAGAAAAGAAAGACAAAAATTAAGGAAAAATTATGTCAATTAGTAGTTGCCTTCAGGTAATGTTCTCGTAGAAGAACTTTGAAAACTTTTTTATTTGTGGCATTTTTAATATCGTTGGGGAGGGTGTTCCAGAGTTGTATAGCTTGTATCGTAAAAGACGACCTAAAAAAAATTGATTTATGCTGTGGAAACCTTAACCTCAGACGGTTTGACTGTCGGGATGTGCGACCGTCGATCGGATGAAAAAAAATGAAAATTATCCTTAAGATAAAAATGCGACCTCGATCGTTTAAAATTGAATAAAGTACAAGTAAAATTCTAGAGCATCGCCTTTGACGTATAGGTAGCCATTTAAGCTTTGAACGATAGGATGATATGTGGTCACACTTACGTAAACCAAAAATAAACCTTATGGAATTATCAAGAAGGCGCTCCAACTTCTTTAGAAGATTGTCTGACAGATCTGGGTAACATACATCGGCATAGTCGATAATAGGTAGAATAAGGGAGTGAACCAGCGTAAGCTTGGTTTTGAAAGGTAGGAAATTTTTAAGACGATAAAGGAAACGCAAAGTAGCAACAACTTTACGACTAACCTCAGAGATCTGCAATTTCCAGGTCATAGTTTTATCCATGTACAGGCCAAGATTTTTTATGGAATCACAATATGGAATCAAACTTTCATTATAAATTACAGGAGAGAGATTTCCATAATCAACCTTAGCCAATAATTGCGAACTTCCGAATATTATAACTTTGCATTTGGCAGGATTAACAGAAACGCCATATTTACATGATCATTCTCTTATGGCTTCCAGGTTATCATTTAGTTTGTGTATTACAAAGTTAAGATTATTTAAGTTTGACTGTACATAAAGCTGGAGATCATCCGCATACAGATGGTATGAACAATCTAAAACTGAGGAGATAGAATTTATAAATAAGGAAAACATAATAGGAGAAAATATTCCGCCTTGCGGCACACAGATTCAATTTCAGCTCATGCAGAAAACCGCTGACCTGAGCGAACTGATTGCTGGCGACCGCGAATATAAGAAGAAAACCATTCCAAGGCTGGAGGTGAAAATTTAAGGTGTTTAAGGATGGATAGGAGGATACCATGATCCACTGTGTTGAAAGCGTTTTGAAAAGTCATTAAGCACCACCACTGTTAATTTCTGCTCATCTAAGCCCTTTCTTATATCTGTGACTTTGATAAGCGAAGTGGTAGTACTGTGACCAGAGCGAAACCCCCGATTGAAATTTATTCAGCAGGTTATGTTTTGCAGTGAATACAGATATTTACTTAAAAACACAGGCTTCCAGAACTTTAGAGAGGTATGGGAGAATTGAAATAGGACGAAAATGGTTAGGGAAATAGGATTTGGTATTTTAGGAAGAGTTCTTACAAAAGCCATTTTCCATGCAGAGGGGTATTTACCTGAGTCCAGAGAATAATTTATAATGTGTGTTATAGCTGGAAGAAGGTACTCAAGAATCATAGACACCACTTGCTTACTAATTTCATCATAACCGACAGCCTTGGATTTAATGGCTAACAGAGCTTTTTAATTTCATCCTGAGTAACAGGGGAGAAACAAAAGTCCGGGATCCAGAGACGCTGCATTGATTCTATAGAAGCAATAGTTTGAGAACGGACTTGCGGGTCCAATGAAGTAATAGAAACAAAGTGACGATTAATGTCATCCAAATTGAGAGAGGTGCCATATTCCGGAGAATTAGATTTATTAATTCCAATCTGTTTCTTAGCGTTCTATTTTTATTTAAAGTGAGTACTTCTACTTGCCTGGTAAGTTGCGCAATTTGTCTAGCCATTTCGTCAAACTGTGATCCAGTTGCTACAGCTGTGACTACGATTTGTGGCATAGAGGAGACAATATCTATCACGGTATCTGCTAAATCAGCTAAGCTATTTAAATCCGCTCGCGGTTGTGATGCTATTGCGGTCTGTACTTGTGTAGGGAGGCGACTCGTCCAGAGGGTTTTTAGAAACTCGTCCGGCACCTCAAACCCTGCTAGAGATGACGCAAGTGTCTTAAGAACTGGGAGGGGCGACGATCACCTAGTTTCTCGTGTGTTAACGATTGCTTAACTTCCCTCTCTGTTGACATCAATAACCTTTTAATAAGCTCGCTTTTAAAGTGTTCATACTCTGTACCTGTATTTGGAGGTGAAACAACTTTACTTCTGCTGTGTAACGGTGATCCAATTGAGATATGACATAGTAAAATTTTATTTTGTCATCAGATATACCGGACAACGAAAAGTGTCCTTCCACTTGTGCGAAACAAACGGCTGGTTCTTGAGCCCAAAATGTAGGTATGCGAACGCCGACACGAAAAGTGTCGGTTGAAGGCCGTGCCACTAACTCCGCCATCTTGTAATGTTGATTTTGACATGTTCAAACTTTTTAAGTCTAATGCACAATTTTTTAACTGTTTTTTTGTGTTCAAACCCGGATCACCAGTGTATGTAAATGAAAGTCACCACATATAACACACTAAACGTTTACTGTCCACAAGCACAAAGAATATTTAGAAAGGCGGATATCATACACAGTGACAGCAAAAGAAAGGAAGAATTAGCACAGAACAAAAGATAGAATTTATACAGAACTTGATATGCACAATGAGACTACAATTAACCGAGCGAAAGCGTTAGGCCGGACCAGCGCAAGAATGGCATGCGTTCTAAGTCGGATGCAGCTGCGGACTGGTGGGGGAACCCGCTCGTGCGCAAGCCGATTGAGGCGTGGCCGCTTGACCTAGATATGGTCACACCATATGTTCAGTGAGTAGCTCTCTCGTTGCGGCGCGTTGAAGATGCCAGGTTTGATATGTTTCACAAGGGTTTCTAAAATATTTTCTGGTATTTCTTCAATTTTCTTATTAACGTAAAATGACGGTTCGGCTTCAGCTACGTCACCTGCTCTTTTTCTATCCAGCATTATTATGTGAGCTATTGTTACGGTGCACAGATGTCTGTAATTTAGTGCATCTCTATTTTTCTTCAGTCTTTGTGCATATTTAGCCTGTAATTTATGTATATTTCCACGGCTGTTGCAATGCCTCCTTCTAATGTAATTATATTTTCTTTAATCATATTTTGCCGCTTTCTAGTTTTCTCTGCATTTGACGAAATTTCCCATTCCCAGTTAATTTCAACAAAACGTTTGAAGTCATCCAACTTTTTTATGCTCATTTTTGTAAGATGTTGATTCCGTTGACATAATAGACTGCGTATAGGAGGGTATATCAATAAATCTTAAAATGGATGGCCGCATTCGAATTGGAATAATTGTAACTTTGACGAAGCCCGCTTCTTCATCCAACCCACACATATTTTTGATGCCATCGATAAAAATGTCATATTTTTCAGGATCTAAACCATCTGTTAGTGTTTCTATACTGTGGTCTTTTTTACGGAGTAAAATTAACAGAGTAGTCAAGTCTAAATTTTAGTACATATCGCTTTTCGGCTTCGCCTTTCTTTTTAAGTAGTCTTGAGCCATATGCAAGAATCAATGGATCATGTTTCACAATGAGAAAAATTTCATCTGAACGAAGATGAGGCAAAATTTTATCTCTGAGTTCTACACTTGCTGACTCAGTTTTAGGTATAATAGTGATACTGTTATTGTACAAAACTCTTCCTGCAACCCAGAGTAAGACAATCATTACTACCGGCACCGCTCTTCTTGAAATGTCTGAAAAAAGTTGACCTTTTGAATGTGCCTAAACACGTCTTGCATGTCGCAAAAGCTGATGGATTTGATTCTTGGGTGTTTCTTTTAGCTGGTATTATAGTTTTCTCTTCATCTCTATCAAAACAAACGTTTTAATTGTTTATAAAATTTCCCTTGTTTATTAATTTGTCCGTCATTTCTTGCCTCTTTTGCTTCCTTACTTTTAGATCTACGTCGTTAATATAAATACTAATAATTACTTCCATTTCGTTAGGATGTTTTCTTAAAAGGTGTCTTGAAAAGTTAGTTCCAAGTTCTTGACAATTAAAACAAGCATTTCTTCTATCCCATCTACGCTTACCCATTTTCTTATAATCATGTCTTTGTTCACAACTGTCTTTCTGTATTTCGGGTGACACGCCTTCAGGGCTTGCTGTCTGTATTTCCGCTGACACACCTTCATGTCCTTCTCCCACAGACACATAGTCCAAAGGGTTAAGGAATCCTTCAGCATTGGCTGCTTTATCTGTAAATATTGATTTATTTTTTATAAATTTTATTCCCTTGAGAGTGTTGAAATACCTATACGATTTTTTCGGCATAGTCAATTAATTATAGTGTAGTGTGGCTCACGGTGTCCACTTATATGATACATATTATAAACTAAAGACAATAATAAAAAGGTCTTGGAACATAACGGTTGTCTCATTTAATAACGTCATTACATGGGGACCCTGCCAGTCGGAGCGCGTAGCATCGGCTGGCCACCGATAGTAAACTCATTATAAATATATAAGAAAACTCTAATTATAAATTATGACACACTGGAGTGAGGAAATTAATTGAAAAAGTCGTTTAGATTTATATTATAATTTGTAAATAAATATTTATGCAATTAAAAACATAACTTGTAAAAACACCAAGTCTCGCAACTCAGTTCTTCTACCGTAAAAAGTTGTGAGATCCATGTAATACCAAGTCGGTTAATTTATTCAGTTCCTACTTAAGGGTCCTTCTGTTTTAAGTTATTACGTAATTAGCTTACCTAACAACATTTTATAGTGACCATATCAATGTTAAAAGTCTTTTAGTTTTAAATATATATAGATTGACTTGGCAATCGCATTAAGCAATCTAATTTAATATAATACGTATTACTTGTGAGATACATTGTGGTTTGCTCGTTATTTTGTTTTTTTTTTTTTTTTAAATCGTGTGTTTTGGAAATTATATTTAGATAAAAATTACATACTGATGAAATATGAATAATATTTTTTTATCTGACCGACATAATAGAAAAAAAACTGGTTATTTGAATATTAAATCATGAGTGCAAATAGTTTAATTTAAATTTCGTGTTTTTAAAAAATACTGAAAAAGGGGCTCGAAATAATAGATTTTTTCACCAAGGAAAAGAACTTGAAAAAAAGGGAAAAAAGTCGAATCGAAGACAGGACGCGAACTAAGGTACTACGACTTCATTACCGCTCGATATTCCATTTAAGCTATTATAATCATTGACGCAATGCTGAAATTTACCTTCTATTACGATCATTAACACAAAGTCAAAATTTACCTTCTTATATTGTAGCAGTTTTTCGTTGGCTGAAAACACGGATAAAACGACATTTTCTAAAAATGAATCCTAGCTAGATCGATTTATTACACCCGAAACCCCCTAGACACTAAATATTATGAAAATCGTTGGAGCCGTTTCGAGATTCCGATTATATATAAATATATATGCAAGAATTGCTCGTTTATAGGTATAGGATATATACATAACGCTATTTAATAGAAAGTAAGTGCTACTTGTATATTTATATCCTTATTACTAAAGTAGCAGTAGTATGAAATAATATGACTAATTGAAAAGTGAACATACTTTTGTGCCTATGACCTTTTTTTGAAAAATATTTAATGTAATAAATATAAAAAATGATTCAATATTCATATGAAATAAAATTTTTCTATAAGATCTATTGAATAAAGATTGCTAAACTTTTATTTTTAACTTTATATAAATAAAAATACTAAATAATTGTAATTAGAGAATCCTACTGGTTGACAACCTATAGTCCACCAAATCTAAGAAATACCTTTTGACATTTCACATTAATCATTCAGCTATAACTTTGCACAAGCGTACTCACACGATTTAAAATAACCATTTACGTAAATCCGAAGAATTATAAAGTTATCTATATTTCATTACAACATGTATAGTTTTTTATCACTAATTTAAATTTAAATCTTTCAAACGAAGGAAAATATTAGAAAATAACCAGTATCAACTTTTTGTACTTGACGTTTCAATGATATGTCACTATGTACATTACCGTAGTGTTTGGATGATTAAAATTAATTGTTATGCGAATAATCGACAAATATATTCCAATAATCGGTAAAATATTCAAATAATCGAATCATTTTTTTAAACGTATTATTTGTTTAATTTAATTTTTATTTTTAAAATTCCTTAAATTACATGAATCATGAACAAAACTAGTTTTTTCTTTAATTTGTATAAAAAAAATACAAGGCCGCGATATAAAAGCACTACGTAATTTCAATTTTCTGCCATTTCGGGCGCTTACTGTGCGTAATTTTGTGATTTTATTTTTTTCTTCTTATTTTGTGACTCGGCTTTAACTTTTTGGACTGTTTCTTCAATATTCGTTGAAGCATGTACCCATTTCACAAAGGATAATTGGGCAAAAGTGGTAAAAAAACTTTGAAAGAGACATTAATTTTAACTGCATTATTGAAAATCAAACAACGACAGCTCAACTAGTTGTACTGAACATTTATTAAAACTACTTTTACGGATTTTATCACGTTTCATTTTAATTTTAATTATTTTTATTTTTAATTCCCGACGTTTGGACCATAAACAATAATTAAAAAAACTGAAGGTACTCCGGGTTTAACAATGACATCGGAACGTCGGTCACCTCAGTCCCCCGTGACCACGGGTGCTGGAAAGCACCCGAAACGTCGGGAATTAAAATAAAAATAATTAAAACTAAAATTAAACGCCATAAAATCCGTAAAAGTAGTTTTAATCAATACGTAGTGTTCGCGTAAATATAGGAAATCATAAGTTGCCTCTAGAAATAAGCACTACCTAATAACAAATACGTAGAAACTGATAAATCTCGTGTTTTGAATTATCCGTTTTAAATTTATTCCGTTATTTTTCAAACCAAACTGTAAATGATTACCAACTCTAAATAATCAATATCGATTTTTATAAGAATCGAATATTGTACGTTCCCTTTTTACGGTTGGTATGCCTGGTGCAATAATTCTGACAGCTGTCAAAATGTATTTCTTAGGTTTGGTTGACTATAGTAACACGTACTGTTTGTTTGTCACGCCTGCGCTTTCCGATCGAAGAGATTTTATATATTTCAATATTAATGAATATGTGATAATATATTTATAAGTTCGTTTGCCTGAAGTGATGACACGAAATAACGATATATTGTTTATGCCCGAATACATCAAGAATATATTGTATTTTTCAACAATAAGGCCAGGGAGAACTATAAAGAGTACTGCTAGCATACATTATTTTTGTATAGATTATGAATTAGTTTATGAAAACTATTACTCTGACTTCGGAACTTTAAATCTTGGTTGTGTTTACAAATACTGCAGAATATTAAATGAGAAAATAGAACAACGTCAAAATAACGAAATCAACGTTCACTACACTTCTTCTGATCCCAAGAAAACAACTAATGCCGCGTTTTTATTAGGATGCTTGAGCGTTTTATATCTGAGTTTGTCACCAAAAGAAACATTGAAACCGTCAACTGTAAGCGGTTATAGTTATAGGTCACTTCAAGATGCAACGCAGGGTGATTCGTCGTATACAATATTAATATTAGATTGCTTCAAGGTGATAAACAAAGCTCGAGAACTGGGTTTTTTATTTTTTATTCTCAACATTTTAATTTATGCTAAATTATAGACTTTTGAGTGCTGTAGATATATTTTTCCTTTTTTTTAACTTTTTCAATGAATACTAACGTTCCAATACATTCACAACCGCATCCACATTTCCTACGGTGTCAAAATTGTACCGACGGTAGGCTGTTTAAAGTTAAAAATAGAATAAATAATATACACATTTAACGATGCCATAGTAAAAGTATTTCGGCTTCACAGCCTACCTGTGACACAAATTTTCACTTTTTCGGAACAATTGTACAATTTTTATAGTAACGTACCAGTGGTTAAAAGAATTCCCAAAGGTGCGAGGATACAACTTGCTAAAGCATTATCATGCAAACATTATTTACACTCGCGTATTCCCATTTTCATTTTAATAAAACAATAAATAAATAAAGATATTTGAAATAATGAGATATTTGAATAATTAAAGATATTTGAAAGTTGAAGAATGCGGATTAAGAATGGGTGAGTTAACTAAAGTTTGATGATATTATGAGAATTGCATTAGCTATTGAAACATCCAAATCTGAAACTAAAGAAATGGGATCGGAAATACAGTCAAATATAAATAAAATTTCAGTAAAGAAGTATAAAAAGAATACGTTTGCTAAGAATACACAAGAAGTTACAAATAAAAACGTTAAGTGTTTTAGATGTGGGGAAAATAACCATACAGCGAACTGGTGTAGAATAAAATACAAACTATACTGAAGGAAATGTAAAATAAAAGGTCACACACAATCAGTTTGTTTCAAGGAGCAAAAACAGATTCAAATAGAACTAGAGAGTAACTCTGAGGAGGAAGTCCGTGAAATAAATAAATTACAGAACATACATGTACAAAGTGACAAATTCTACATATCTCTAACATTGAATGGGAAATTGCATAAATTAGAAATGGACATGGGATACGCAGTTACTACATGTTCTGTTGAATATTTCTACAAGAATTTTCCAAATTCATAATTAATAAGTACTTCAGTCAAAGTTGAGAACATACACCGGCGAAATTATAAAACCTCTTGGGACCTCAACAATTCAAATTTCATATAATAATAAAGAAATTATAGGAAGAATATTCATTATAGACAGGAAATGTTGAATCGGTAGTTGGAAGAGAATGGCTCAGAGAACTTAAGTTACAATTTAACCTTAATTCTATAAATAAAGAAGAAAGTGATATAACAGATCAAGAACTTAGAGTAAAGCTTTACAATTTATTAAAAGAATATAAAGGATTACTTACAGAAGAAATTGGAAAAATTAACAATTTTCAAGCATCATTTAAACTAAGGATAACCAATATTTTTGAAACCACGAACTGTGCAAGATACGTTTATGTGCGAACTAGAGAGCAACCTTGAATTAAATCTTCGTTCTCTTTCTGCAAGACCGACTCCTAATTATTTTCCGTTCGTTTTTAGCCAATTTAATGTATGTGATGTTTAAAAAGATCATATCGATATATATTTCCTCAAATGCTGTCGTTAGCGACAACGTTAGCCGTAATATGACTGTTCTTCTCCTTGATGTTATCACTCCCATTATCACCTATTTACTTCA